TTTTTTTTTTTTTCTTTTTTTTTTTCTTTTCTCATCAGCAAAACAAAAAACTGATACGGAGCCAGAATTCCTGTAATGTACACACGCCGGCGGGGAGGGGGAGGAGGAGGAGGGCGGCGATTGAATATGTAAATAGTTCAAGGTTAATTTTACTATGTGAGTCACTGGGAAAATGTCATCCAACATCTGAGCTTATTATAACAGGGCTCAGAAAAAAAACCACCACGGCTTGCTGTTTGTTATGAAAGGGAGCAGGACACGTTGGAAAGCGGAGCTCATGGCAGGGCTCTCTTCTCCCCCCCTCCTTTCTCCCTGCTTTAAACAGAAACCATCGGCGCAGGTTTGGGCAGGGTATATTTAGCCAGCGCCTCGTATCGCCTACAACGCACAGATATCTGCAGATGATCTTATCGATGGGCTGGGACAGGACTCCGCGTGCTGCCAAGTATCGGCCGTGTTTCGGCGCGAGCCTTGCTGCTGGCACCAGCCCCCTGCCGTACATTTATATCCGCACAAGCAAATTTACAGCCCCTGCCTAATAAAGGTCGCTGGTGCAAACGGGCGAGGAGCTGCTGCTGCTCCATCCTGCGCGGTCACTGCCGCCCCATGCGCCCCCAAGCAAGGCTGAAGCTGCCCAGGTCTGCAGGCCCACCAAAGCCACAAGGAGGGACAGAACTCAGGCTGGACTTCATGATCTTGGAGCTCTTTTTGAGCCTCTATTATTTAATTTCCCCTCCAAGAAATGTGAGGGAGCAGGCTGCCGGGCTGCACGGTGGCTCTTGGGAGTGGGATGCCCCATGGACCAGGACTTGGGCAGGGGCTGCAGCTCCCTCCCAACCAGCCAGGCCTAGCTCGCTGCGCTGGATGACAAAGTTCATCTTGTTATCCACCATCATCCCAACAGTCCCTCCCAATGCCCATCATTTAATTACTTTACTGGAGAGGAGGAACTTCCGTGGGGCTATGGAAGAGGCATGCTGAGCTCTAGCTCAGGAAAAGAGAAGGAATAAAGCAAAAAGAGGGACTGCTAGCACCTCTGGAGGAGGAGGAAGATGGCTAAGGGAGGAGGAAGATGGGAAATTGGTGAGGAGAGGGGTGGGGGAGGATCCAGCCTTCCCCACTGCTGGCTTGGCACAATGGCCCCATCAGTAGAATGTGACATCCCCTCCCTCAGCAGAAGCAATTAATAAAAATTTGGGATTGTATATTATTAACAGGCTGTAATTGGTGAGAAGATGGAGATGTGAAGGGGGAAATATGGATTAAAAAAAATCGGCAAGAAAATTTATGCACTGCCGTTGCTTTACTACCTAATTAATTCAGTAATTTCAAAAACAATTTTATTTATGTTCCGTTTACCACATCAGAAGTGCAAAGAAAAAAGCACCAAACCACAGTGATGCTAAAATAATACCTCAAGGCATCTATTTTTAATCAGTGAAAAAAAAGGGAAAAAAAGAGGAGAGCCAGCCCAGCTTCTATACAATCTCTGCTGGGCAGACCACCAACTCGGGGAGCGCAGCAGCCGAGCCCTCTGCGAGTGCCTTCCTGGCTGCCGAAAACAGAGCTTGTCAAAAAAAAAAAAACAAATCCATAATGGCCTGAGGCTCCTCTCCAATCTATTTTCTGCTCAGCTGGTTTTAAATGAAGTTATTATGAGTCATTAAAACACCCGCAAGCCTGTGGAAGTCAGCCAATTACAATTTTAAATTTAGCCTGTTCTCTATCCCATTCTCTTGTTTTCTTCTTTTGCCCACATCAAGCCGCTTTCGGATCTTTATTATTGCCATTATTATTATTATTATTATTATCGTTATTGTTATTTCCCTTCTCCCCTGTTTCACCCAAGTGGAAGAGACAAGTCATGAAAATCTCTGTGCTAAAAAAATACTGTAGAGAAACCCAAGAAGGGCTTAAAAAAGATAGAGCTGCAGAGCAGGCCTGGAGAGTCAACCTCAGCTCCTGCTTCCCAAAGTGCCACGGAAAGGTGATAACTAATATCAGAAAAAGTGAGGTGTGGGCAGCACAGAGTGAGGAGGGACCTTAGCTGGAGTGCTGGAAACTCGTCTGAGAAGGATGCTGTGGCATGGGCTGCCCTGGGGAGCCTTGGGAAAGCACCCGGAGGGATGGAGCAGGGGCTTGGGGCTGGCTGAGGTGGTGGCCAGCAGCAACACCATCACCAGCCTTGGCCATGCAGTGCCACCAACTCCTGCGCCTCACAGGGACTGCTGGAGCAGGGAGCATTTTCATTTAAAAAATAATAATAAAAATTATTAATGATGATAATTGACTTGGGATCCCAAAGTGGCAGGTTTTTACACAACCCCCTTTCCTGCTGCCCCTGCCATTGCCACTCTTTCCAGCAGCATCCTCTCCACAGGGAAAAAATTACAGACCCCATCCCTGGCAGCCCCGCACGGCGAGCGAGCACGGCGCGTACTGCACAGCCCATAAAACTCCAAACAGCCTCCAGACACTCCTGCAATCGTCCTCCATCAAAACACTTTGTCTTGCATACAGAAATGCGGCGGGGCGCCGCGCGGAATACCAAATCAGCCCGTGACGGTGCGGGGAGGCGGCTCCTTGGCAACCGGGGGGGCTCCGCCACCGCCGCCGCTCGACAGGAAACAAAATCTGTCAAGCCTGTTGGGCAAATGATAAACATTAGCGGTATTAAAAACAACACAAAAGCGGCGTAAATGGCTGGCGAGCGTGCGGGGAGGGGTGGGCAGGGACGGGGGGGCTCCTGCCCCTTTTGCCTCCCAGCCCAAGTGAGGGGGGTCTCCAGCACCACCGCCTGGGGGGAAGTTTGGGAAGTTTCCCCCCTCCAGCAGAAAGCAGGTGGGCAGTGATGGCCACGGACATCGTGAGGGATGGATGGACACGGGATGCGTGGGGTGGGCATGAGGGGTCCTGGCATTCCACTCTGCGCCCCACCATCAATAACATCAATAACGTCAATAACGTCAATAACAAGGGGCAGCCAAACCAAGGAAGCGCTGAGAGACGGTGGGTGAAAAATAAACGTATTTCATCAGGTGAGGGCGGGGAGAAGCAAGAAGCTGGCTTCAACCCAGCGGCCAGGTCCAGGAACCCGGCCAAAACAGGAGCTAAAAAGCAAACCATAATTTTCTGGTCTCAGTTCAGGCTCTTGAGGCAGAGAGGATGGGGAGGGGAGGGGTGGGGGCTAAGAGAAATGTATTTTTCATCAGCCAGTGTATAATTTATAAACAGCATTAAACAGTTTTTGTTTTCTTTCTTCCTCTCCCCCGTGTGCGCGGCTTGGCCGGCAGTCAAGCCTGCATTAATTTCTGCTGTGGGTACAGTGTGTTCTTGGATGCACATCTGCGGATGATCATAAACGCGGGAACGCTGGCAGAACATCCAGACCTGCCGGCAGGCCGCTGACATCACCCGGGACCGAGCGCGGGAC